AGTATTAAAGGTTATTTTTATATCCATAATTGCATTCCATGTTTTATGGTGTTTTTTTGGTAAATATTTAGTTTCACATAAAATAGCAAAGTATCCAGATAGGAGTTATGAATTTGAATCAAATCTTACGTGGCTCATGGCTTTGGGTTCTTCGTGGAGCTGCTTTGTGTGTGGATTTTCACAGCACTGTTTTCATGCTCATGGCTACAAGTTAAGTTGTATTGGATTTCCAGAAAATTGTTAGTGCCACACACTTTATTTATTTTTAATATACACCTTGGACTTGTGGCTGGGTGTGCACAATAGCAATTTTATGATTAGCTTCATTAATAAAGTCATACTGACTGTTTAGTTTAAAAGTTTGCATAACTAATAATATTATTTTATCAGCAAATAAGAAGTGTGGTTAAAGTGCCAACAGCCCATTGTTGAGTTCCCTCATTTTCAGAGTAGACATCTGTCCCTTTGTCAAGAATGGATGCCTTTACCTAGAAGGAATTTTGACCTCGTCTTGTTGGCCAGGGACTAACTCCAGAAATAGCAGAGATCTTTTAAAAAACTGTCAGGAATATATTGGAAACAGATGGCTACTCAACAACTACATATGAAATGAAAATATGGATAACTGGATATATTTAATAGTGATCAAGATTAATAAAAAGGCCAGACTTAGTTTGCAATTTCCATAGAATACAATTGGATAGACAGAATTATGAACAAGTTCTAACTATATTGCCTTTTCCCATGATAAAGTACTTGGAATGTTGTATTGCTCCTTGGTTAAGACATACCAAGGGCAATGCAGAACCACCATTGCTTTTTTGGGTCTTCTCCATGTTTCATGCAATGAGTTTTATCTTTCCAGTCTTGGGTGGGTCTAGATTTGGAAACATGTTTTGGTTGGAAGTATGAGGCTCTGGATCTCAGCAGGCTTTCGAGGTTGGAGGAGTTGAAGCTTACAGAAAAAAAACAAATAAACATGGTCATCAAAGCTGGGAATTAAGAACTGTTTATCCACCTGCACACTTGAATTAAATCTCACAGCAATAGGCAAAGCCATTTGACTTATGACCTTGATAAAATAGTCACGTCCAAGTATCTGTTTTGCCCGTGCTTGGATACAAAGTTAGGATAGTTACTACATAGACTGGGTGGACATATTCTGGTTGAACTGTTCCTAAGTGTTGATTTCCAATGCACAGACAGAAGTCTGTGGATATAACTGATATGGAATGAAGGGCAATTAAACTAAAGTTCTATTTGAGGATCGAGGCAGGAAGCTTCAACTTGCAGGACACACTTTTGTTCTTGTCCTTTGTTACTGAGCTGTGTTAGAAGTTCAGGACTGGAGGAACTGTTAACAGAGCACTTATGTTTGGGTGTGGCCTATCACTTTTGCTTTAAGAGAATTCCTTCTGGGTCAGGTCATAAAGATAGTGAAGATACAGACTATGGTAAGGATTCCCTAATTCATTTTTATTGTTTAAGTCTGTCAAAGTTCAAGTAACTGAAGCAATGTGTTTTTTAACAGTTTTAAGAATACCTTTCAAAAAACAAATGCAGGGGCAGAATTTGTTGACTCTTGAAATCCTTGTGGTCAAGATGAAAGTAGTCTTCCGAAATACAAATCCAAACCAAAACAAAAGCCTTTAATTTGTGTTGATTCCCTTGGTTCTGCAATTCCCTTTCCTCTTTCCTTCTTAACTATGGAGTATGATTTGTGATGATAATGTGCTCTTGGTTTGACCTATGAACTCCAAGTCCAGCTTCTCTTGAGTTGTGATCAGTGTGGGATAGACAAGCTCCTTAAACATTCTTTCATGAGTACAAACCTTTCAAATTCTCCGCTCACTTCAAAGCCAGCTCTGAGATGTGAATAACCTTTTTCAAACTGTGATTAATTCCAACAGTAGAAGGTAGGCAGCACACTCCTCCCACTGGTTGTAGAGGACCTTGTTCTGGGCTCTGGATGCAGCAGCATCTGCCAGCAGCTCCTGGTTTTGCCTTAGACTCCTAGTTGTGCACACAAGAACTTTTAAATGCCATTCCACAGGGTTCTGTGCTTTAGATGGATCCCATTCTTGGGCAAGTCTCAAAATGAGACAGCTGGCTTTTTTCCCAGCCAGATTTTCTTCTCCACTGCAGCTTCTACATTCCATCTCTGTTCCTGTTCCCCCAGCTATCTGGACTCTATTACCCATGAGTTTTTCCTTAATTACACAGTAATGTTCAACTGGATCTAAGATTGCCAAAACTCATACTTGCTCAGGACACCAAGAACACTATTAGAATAAATCCTTTTCCAAATGTAACTGGGAATGTTAGAGAAGCTATATGGAACTTCTTTATTAAAAGACATCATAAATTCAGTAAAAGGAAAAAAATAGACAGGAAAGTAAAGTGAAAATAACTTACAGTTGAGGATCTAATTCCTAGAATCTTAAAGGAGATGTAACCCTAAGTCATTGCATTATAAAGTTATTGTATAGCCTTCTAAATTGTCTTACAGTTTACATATGAGTCATACACATTAATTATAAGGGTGCAAAAATATATGCTACACTTGCATGGTCATATTAACTTTGTAAATACAGAGCTGTGTAATAAATCCCTGAAGATGGGGAGTATTAATATTACCTTATAGTGGGCTACTATTCCCTGCTAAATTCATGTCTACCTAGGGCTTTAGAAAGTGACCTCAGTTGAAAAGAAGGTCATGGCAGATATGAGGGATATAAAAAACAAGCCTATCCTATGAGATTATAAATGCATGAGATATTTATAGGAGACAGAAAAAAGTTATGAAGGTGTTGGAGGAACCAGTCAGGAGAAGACCAAGTCAGAGGTGGTGTTACTCATCCAGGAAATGCCTGGGGCCACCAGCAGCAGGGAGAAGGAAGAAAGGCTTGTCCCAGGAATTCAGAAGAAGCATGCTGTGTTTAACATCAGGGCCCTCATCTTCACCACGTGGAATGAGTTCCTGTCACCTAAACCACATTGTGATATTTGTTACATAGAAACTAACTCAGGAACTAGAACTCCTTCTAGCTCAGCTCTCCACCTTCAGAAACCCAAGGTGTTCTTATTTCTAGCCTGTAGAACATTTTTATGAATTTCCAGGACATTCCTTCTTTCCTATGTGTCTTGATTCTTCATCAACATACAGTGTATTAATTTTGTTCCTGTTGTGGCTGTGTTTTGACAATTTTTGTGTTCTAAAATCCTGTCTTCATTATAACTTTTATTTAACATGTTTTTGACAGTGTTGTGCTTGTGTATAACACCTTCTAATTGTCTCCCCCCCAGTTGTTTCTGTCTCCCTCCTGCCTGCCTTTTCGACAAGTCTCTAAGTTTTTTGTTGTTGAGTTACATTCATAATGTGAACATCCCACAATATGTCCGTTTCTTTCTTCCTGCTAATAAGATATGCATCTATTTTGTTTATTTGTTGGTTTAGCAATTCTGTGCCTTATAGAGTTTTGGTAAATACCTTAAAGTTAGAGCAAGTGCATTTTAATTTAAGATTGAATGTATTGGTCATCCTTTCTTTTCTTTTTATTTCTTTTATTTTAGTTTTTTGAGATAAGGTCCTCTGTAGTTTTGGAGCCTGTCTGTCCTGGAACTAGCTCTTGTGGACCAGGCTGGCCTTGAACTCACAGAAATCCACCTACTACTTCTGCTTCCTGATATTGGTATTAAAGCATGCACCACCACTGCCAGGCTAAATTTATTGGTATTTCTAATTGGTAATGAAGAACTTTAGGAGATTTAGTTTTGAATTATTTTCTGGTCTTGTGTTAATATTAAATTCAAATATTGGTTTTTAAGTTCTAAAAATGAAAATATTGTTTTTTTTCTTATACTCTTAAAATATAAGGGGCTGTGCAGTGGTGGTGTATGCGTTTAATCCTAGCATTTGGGAAACAGAGTCAGACAGATCTCTGAGTTTGAGGCCAGCCTGGTCAATAAGAGCTAGTTCTTGGACAGGCTCCAAAACTACAGAGAAACCCTGTCTCAAAAATAAAAAAAAAAAAAAAAACTGTTTCCTTCTCCAGGGTGAGGATATTTGCTTATATTTCTATGTGAGTAAATCAGAGACTTCTTTTTTAATAGTTTTGTTTTTGAGAATTTCTCATGACCACTGCATCTATATAACTCTTGCTCTCCCTTTCTATATTCTAACACGTCTGGTGACCATCTTCTCATGCTCACAGTCTTTTCTTTAATTATTATTAATGTATATTCACATACATATACACACCCACATTTATATATATTAATATATTAAATATATATTACCACAACATCCATTTAGCTTTGTTCATGTATATATATATGTGTATATATATATATATATATATGTTTTGTATATGTATGTATGTATGTATGTCTAGGGCTGACTTCTTGGAATTAGACAATCTTATATGGGATTATTTCCCCCCTGGAGGCAGCTGAAACTGGCCCGATCAGAGGCCACTAACAGCTTGGATCCTCATCTAGGGGTGGGGCCATATGGAATTCCCTCTGTCTGCCCTGGTATGTCAACTGGTGTCATGATGCTGGCTTTATTCAGTCAGTCATATTGTTGAGAGTTCATTGACGAATTTTCCCTGTCATATGTAGGGGACATGATTTATCAGCAGGTATCCTTGGCCTCTTGTCTCTTAGAATATTTCTTTCCTCCATTTCATGATGTTCCCTGAGCGTTGAGTTTAGGGCTTGCTTTGTAGATGGGCCGCTTTTTCTCAGCACTCAGTCTCCACGGTTTGGCCAGGTATGGATCTCTCTCACAGTCTTCAACTGTTTCAAAAAGAAGTTTCTTTGAGGGTGAGAGTTCTATACATCTGGAGGTGTAAAGATGAGTATTTAGAAAGTGGTTAGAAGTGATTTTGGCTTAGAAAGCTGACAGTAGCAGGTTCACCTCTTGTGTCTAGAACACAAGACATCTTTCTTTCGCGATGGGACATTCATACTTAAATATTTTTGTTTCTCTCTTACAGCTAGTTATGTATCAAATCCCATTTGCAAGGGTTGTTTGTCTTGTTCAAAGGACAATGGGTGCAGCCGATGCCAACAGAAACTGTTCTTCTTTCTTCGAAGAGAAGGGATGCGCCAGTATGGAGAGTGCCTGCATTCCTGCCCGTCAGGGTACTATGGGCATCGAGCTCCAGATATGAACAGATGTGCAAGTGAGTATTTGACTTTTCTCCATCCTGTTTTGCTGGATGTGCAATTTAGATACTGTGCTAAGTATTTTAGAGAAAATATTTGTAACGGTCTGTAGATTAGTCTAAACTAAAGCTTCCAATAATGAATAGGGTAGCGCAAGAAAACTTTTACTTTATATTTTATGTAGGCATATATCATACAGTCACACACATTCCTCCAGTGATTTAGGTTAACCATTTTTCATTACATTAGTCTAAAAAAATGCTTGCTAGATAGAACTTCGTAAGGAGAAATTATTACTTGGAAACAAAATAACCAACCAATCACAAAAGATTTTAATATGCCTGGGAAATAATCTTTAATTTAACCTTAATTTTATAGTTTCTTTTTTTTTATTTTGGATTTGTAATTCCTGCTTTTGTTTGATCTCCAACTAAATATACACACACATATAAATATGCATATATAAAAACATAAACTTATTTAAAGCACCATTGCTGATAAAGATGCAATGGAGCTGTTTAGTGATTTTTAGGCATTTTTAAAGTCAAGTAACTGGATGAATAGTTTGTACCAGTTGCAAAGATAGAAATATGTAGTCTGAGACGAAGATTGGCTATACCTTTATTTCATGAAATTGTTTGGACTGTTAGAAGGACATAACTCGCAACACGTTTTAATAGTTTGATCGAATTTTTAAGTACATCTTAAATCTCAAAGGTGTGTGATTTGATGATCCATAGGCTAATGGATCCACCTGGAAGCAGTTTTCTGTCCTGATTGCCTCAGGCAACCTCTGGTGGGATTTGAGTATCTGGGTCTCCTGTGCACACTTCTTTTTGTGCTTGTGCACATTTTTCAGTGTGTGTGCAAGGTGATGAAGCTGGAAGAGGATCGTTTGGAGCATGTTCTAAATTCTAGAGCTATCACATTGTGAACTGTGTGTGGGCGACATTCTGGCTCTACAACTTCCTACCCAACCTGGGATATTACTGAGTCAGAAGGGGTGCTGTTAATAACCGTTTGAGGGTGTGCACCGTAATTCACAGTGTTCTTCCACAAACTGGTGTAAACACAGTTGTCTCGGTAAAAATTCCTGCTGGGTGAGCAGCTTCCCTCTACTCCGGATGAAGGCGTGCACAGCTAATCATGCTGACCCCTTCTCTAGGAAGTGGAGAGCAATGATCACATATCAGGTTTGGGAAGGAGAATCTACACGTGAGAATGGGCTTGCTGTGGTTTTACGTATTGTAAGTGAATGCAATCAATGCTGGAGACTACTGACCTACAGGCAATCATTACTTATATGGTGCAAGCGGGAAGTACTTATTAGGGAAACTCTGCAAAGCAAAGGGGAAGCAGGCAAACATTTACGCTGCTCTAGATGGCATCAGGTTGTTATGGTTCTTCTATGATGTTTTCTCATTTTCAGTCTCTGTGTATATTACGTCAGTTTTTAGCCAGCATCTAGAGGATGGTATTAAATTACAAAATTCGTTAGAGACAGAATTTGTGATTACAGCCGCTTCTCACTGAGATTATTGATTGATCATAGACGAGTATAAATTTTAAATAGTAGCTTGGAAAATTCTCTAAATGAAATTTGCCTCTTCATCGTGATGTTTTGTGAAGAGAAATGGTACAAGCGTGAAGTGACTATCTTCCAAATGAACACTTTGCTCCCTAGGGTGGCTGACATCGGCTCCTTGGGATGCACAGTGTGAGTTTGTAAAATTCATACACGCTCATGAAAATCACTTGAGTAGCTTACTGAAGTGAGGTAATACAAGCTTCTATTGTCCTGGGTATTATGTTACATGATGTTCCTGTCAGAGTTTCTCTTCCTCATTTGTTAGCAAATTGATTTGCACAGAAGCGCCAGGTTTACGTTGTTATGTATTCCTCGTTTAGGAAGCTTAGAAATGAATTTTAGTACAATGCATCTGAAAAACCAAAAGTAAAACATTTCCCAAAGATCCCAAAAGCTAACACTTGGGCTTCTGTCTTTGAGCATGCCTTTCTTTGCACAGTGGTGTATTCCCCTCCTTAAGAAAGTGTCACACTTGTGGCTTATTTTAACTTAAGTTACAGACTTTTTCATGCCGTTTAACATAGTTGTACATACTTCTCTGGGATTGGCACACACATTTAGCTATTACCTCCTGGCAACTCACTGAGTGATGTTCATTTAAAAACGTTTCTTTATTCCATTTCCATACATACTTTTACATATTTGTCTGATTTGTCTTTGTGTACTTTTCACTACAATGCACATCTTGAAATCTTCAGGAAAATATTACCCCAATCTTGTGGAAATTTGGATAAGTATATAGTACAGGTGTCGGCTCATATCTCAACTAACAGCAGACATTTTTGCCTCGTAAATACCTAGGAATTAATGAAAAATATATAAAGTGATTTTTTTGTTTTAATATGCTTTTCCTTCACATGAAGCTAGACATTTATTATTAGTGTGAATGCGCGCACTTAGTATAGTTGACAGAAAATGTAAACTTCCTTCTTTCTCCTATTTTAAAAGTTTTTTTTTTTTTAAAAATTAAGTGAAATATCAGATTCAAATCCACCTTGACAAAAAATAAACATAGATTTGCCACAAAGAGAAGTGGTACATGTAACCATGGGATTAAAAAGAATGTTTCCGGACTCAGTCACTCTTATTCCGAATTCTCTCTTCTCTCATTCTAACCACTATCCTGATTTGTAATCAATACACAGATGTCGTCTCGTTTAGTTAAAGCACAGATAGTCAAGTGATTGTATGGCACATAAACTCTATTGTTTAGTTTGTGTTCTGTGCCAACCTCTCTGACACATACATTTTTTCCCCTCAATTGTTTAAATAGTGCAAAGCAGATTGTATATTTCCATTTTCTGGATGAAGTTACCTAAACTGGTTATCATTCCCTTTCCAAAGTTTGGAGGCAAGGTGTAGTGACAAAGGGACGGTATATATGAAGACTGTAGGTGTTTTCTGTGTTTTTAGGAATGAGTATTATGAATAGAAAATAAAATAAAGATATTAAGAAACTATTATCCATCCATAAAAAATATAAGTGGTTAGGTACAGTTTTACTGTATAATGATGAGAAGCTATTCTGAGTAGATTGAATGAGACTACCTAATGACAGGCTTGCCTTAGATAGGTTTTCCTTGTAGCCCAGGCGAGCCTGGAACTCACTATATAACCTGGATTCACTCTTGACATCGTAGTAGGTCCTCCTATCCTTACTTATGCCTGCCACCCATGCAGGTCTTCCAGGTGTGAGCCACCTTACCTGACATGAAAAATTGATGCAATCTAAGCAGCTGTTAAATGTGTGATATAGAAAGGTGGTAAATTGTGTCTTCTGTGGTGTTTTTATGTTATCAGGTGAAAACTCCCTTTCAATATCTTTTATGCCTTTCATTGAATTAGTAGAGTAACTGCTAATAATGTTATTTCTTCTCTTGATCACTTAATAGGAAGTAGTTTACAATATACCTCAAGTATTCATTTTATAGATTGAGTAATGTAAACATTAGCCATTCTTTTTGCATTATGAGAGTTAACAAGTAATAACAACACATTTCAAAATAGTCTTAGATATAGTGTTTTGTCAAAATAAAAATACTTTCACTGGTAAATTTCTCCCCTCAATGAGTGTGTGTGTGTTGTATTATATTCAAAGACATGCATAGCCTGTTCAAGGAAGGAAAAGGTATATTTAATTAAAAGGTAGAGATTAGATAGGTAGATAGGCAGGTAGATAGATGGATAGATGGACAGATGGATAGATAGACAGATGGATAGATGGATGGATGGATAGACAGACAGACAGACAGACAGATAGGTGATAGAGATAGATGATTGATGTATTCATGGATGGGTCTGGAAGAGTTTGATCTACATTATCCTTGTCTTCCTCTGTCTCTCCTAGTTTTCCATTTCAACCTTCTGATTCTGTTTCTCTCCTCCTGCTGCAAACATGTATAGATCTTTTGGTTTATATAGAAATGCATGAGCCGGGTGATGGTGGCGCACGCCTTTAATCCCAGCCCTCGGGTGGCAGAGGCAGGCGGATCTCTGAGTTCGAGACCATACTGGTCTACAGAGCTAGTTCCAGGACAGGCTCCAAAACCACAGAGAAACCCTGTCTCGAAAACAAAACAAAACAAAACAAAACAAAAAAAAAACCAATAACAACAAAGAAATGCATGGCTCCCAAACTATTCCAGTAGTCAGCAAGATACCCATCCTGTTCGAGAACATTTGACTCACAGTGGAATATGTTTTCATTGTGTTGTTACTTAGAAATGAACATGAGCTGGGCAGTGGTGGTGCACACTTTAAGTCCCAGCACTTGGGAGGCAGAGGCAGGAGGATATCTGTGAGTTGAAGGCCTGCATGGTTTACAGAGCAAGTTCCAGACAGTTAGGGCTGTTATACAGTGAAACCCTGTCTCAAAACACCAAAAAATGAACAATAAAGTACAGACAAAATAACTGCACAATTATAAATAAAAGTATTAGAAAAACTTCAATTGTTTTCAGGAATAAACAGCAAGTGTGTTTCAAATTCCATTAAGTATTTCATGACAGTCTTGCCAGTGTGTTTCAAATTGCATTAAGTAGTTCATGTCAGTATTTTCTAATGGTCAAAATCAATTTGTGGCAAATCGATTTGAAAGAAGATTATACTAGAAGGAATCCTGGGTTCTCCAGTGTGTTCTGCCAGTAACTAGCTTTGTAAGCTAGAACCGTTTACATAACACACTCTGGAATGAGAGTTGGCTCGTGCTCTTCCTGAGCCTATCTATAAAACCGTCTCAGTAAAAGAATAAAATCTTTTGGTAGTTCCTCTTAAAGATATTCTTCTCATTGTAACTTACTCTTCTTAAGTCCAGTTGCTTTAGTGTTCTGTTCACTTTTTCTTTGTAGCTGTCATATCTGCATGATTAATAGTTAAGGAATATGCATGAATAAAGAGTCGGTCATGAGCTCTTTACTGTATTATACAATA